ACCACAAGGGGGCGTCAGCGAGCTAATGCAAATAGCTCTGAACCTGCAGCTGCAGATGAGGAAGACCCTTCAAATCAGGGGAAAGGACATGCCAATGAAGAATCACTTTTGCCTAAAAGGAACGTCAGGGGCAGAGGCCAAAAAGCAGTTGAGACTGAAACTGTGGAGGCGCCAGTACCTCCTGCAGTCAGTGATGGAGATGAAGAGAAAAGAAAGGGAAGAAAGAGAGAGTTGGAGCCAAATACGGAGGAGGATTCCAGCAGTAGCTCCAAAATTTCCAAAGGGAAGGAAAAAGCCCAAATGACAAAGGCAGTAGAAGAAACAAAAGGTGTAACAAAAGATGAGACTGCTGTCCAGGCTAAGACCAGAGGTAGAGCATCCAGTGCTCGAGCAAAGAAGAATGCAAAAGATTGCCCCACTGAAGTCGAGGTTAAGGAAGAGAGTGAGAAAATGGAGGAGGAGGCTGTGGAGAGGAGAGGCAGGGGTCGGCCATCAACAGTCCAGAAAAAGAGGAAAGAGGAGCAGGAAGAAAGTGGAACACCGGTTGACCAGGATGCACATGTGGAAGCATCAGAGGTGATTTGATAGCTTCATCTTTAAATATGCAATCTGCATTTTTAGGTTTCAAGTTGAAACAAAAATACATTAAGGCTGAAACATAAATCAGACCAAAACAGAAAGCTGAGTAATATATAATTAGTGTCCCGGAACTTCTGTCCTTGAGGAGGAAGGCTTTTACCTTGGCCAAAGCCCTCTGTGCATATATCTATGAGTCAGCCTTTCTAACCATCGTAATGTACTGCAATCAACATCAGGGACGGTCTAGGTCTCTCCCACTCTCAACAACAAGAGTAGTCTGACCTGCTCGGCATCACCATTAATACACTAATGAATTAAGTACTTTAGTGGTCACACAGTCACTTCCTACTATTATGTTTTGTCTTTGCTGTCTATACAGCCTATCCACACTGTTTTCCTTGTGTGTTTCATGCTTTGTCTTTGTCTGTTTTGAACTGTTTTCCTCTCTTGTCATTCCTCATTCTCCCCTCCCCCCTTTCTCTCCCATTTAACAGCCCCAGACTCCAACCAGCAGCGTATCTCGGAAGCGACAGGCTCTTGCAGACTCCTCGCCTGTGGCAAAGACCCCTCGCTCTTGCTCCGCTTCCCCGGCAGCTAGTGGTCGTTTACGAGCTGCCAGCCAGGCCTTCAAGGTTTTATGTCTTTGCAAACGTGCTCATATTCGTCTCAATATAATTACATATCGTTAACACATTTAGGCTTTAGACCAAACAAAAACAGAAGTCTGAGACTTCTGAATAACACAGCGTGTCTGTCATTCTCTCAGGTGCTGTTCACAGGCGTGGTGGATGAAGCAGGGGAGAGAGTGTTGGCCCGTTTAGGAGGCAGCATGGCTAACGGTGTGGCAGACATGAACTTTCTGGTGACTGATAAGGTGCGCAGGACTGTGAAGTTCCTGTGTGCAGTGGCTAAAGGAGTCCCCATTGTCACCACACACTGGCTGGAAAAGGTTAGTTGCCATATTAGCAGTTGAAAGAGACTCTCTCAGAGACATACTCAAATAGACACTCACTGTTCTTGTTATCTTTCTCTGTGTTTCAGAGTGGTAAGGCTGGGAGCTTCCTGTCTCCTAATGCTTTCGTTGTGAAGGATCCGGAGCAGGAGAAGAAATTCCGTTTCTGCCTGCAGGAGTCTCTGAGGATTGCCGGCAGTCAGCCTCTCTTACAGGTACTCATAACTCAGTCATGCCATTTATTTCAGTAAATCCTTAAATTTTTCCTCTGAGTCAGAGGTGAACAGAGTGGGTATGGCACAAGGGTGGTAGATAATATTGAGAGTTAGGAATAGTGACTGTGATAGAAATCTAGAAATATCTGTGTTACAATCATCCTCAGCCTATAAAAGATCTGAAATCCTATTTTTTAACCACAAGCATAGCTTTTTAGCTCACCCCCCTGAAGCTGAACATGCTCACATCTTTACAAGTGTCGATTGTTTACCATTACCTGGCTTGTGGGAAGTAGATTGACATTTATTTTTAATATACTGCTTATGTTTTATGGGCACTTCACATAGGGAACAGGCAGTAATGTTTCCATTTCTGTTGCATACTCCTCCTGCCCTGCACTGCTTTATCAATTCTGCAAAGAGATGGTTTGTCTCCACATACTATGCTGATACTGGCTAAAATTGTGGAATATTATACACGTGTTGTACCCAATTACATTCCCAAGAGCCTTGAATTGATTTCTTTAAGCATTTTTGCAGAGATTAAATAAAAATAGACAGAACTCTTACTTGCTTGCTTGTGTTGTGCTGCATCTCTTGTTTTCTTTCTCTTAGGGATATGAGATCCATGTGACAAAGTCAGTGAAGCCAGAGCCAGTTCAAATGAAAGACATAATCACCTGCAGTGGAGCTACCTTTCTCGCTAAGATGCCCACTTCACACAAGGTCTCACATATGATAAATTAACATTATTTTGTCACATCTTATCATTTGATATATGTGTAATTAACTCCTTATTTATTTCCTCTCTCTCAGCCCCAGACGGTGGTGATTTCCTGCGAGGATGACTGGTCGCTGTGCGGCCCGGCTCGCTCTGCATGTCTCCCAGTCGTCACTGCTGAGTTCATTCTCACAGGGATCCTGCAGCAGAAACTCGACTTTCAGACCCACTTGCTCTCTGCCCCTACCAGCAATCTACAAGCTGCAGGAGGCAGAGGAAGGGGCAGGAAGAAGACTTAAAAAAAACCCCACACTCAAAGATTACCATATAAATCAGAGACCGGAAGAAACCCTCGTGAGTCAGCTGTTCGTCTGTATTAGAGACTTGAAGAATGTATTTGCCATATGCAGCAAAAGGTGGTTGTTCACTTGCATGGTTGTAAACACACTGTGGATGTAGCAAGTTTTAATGTGGTAGCTATTAGGGCTGGGCGATATGGACAAAATCATATATCACTATATTTTTGACCAAATACCTCAATATTGATATTGCAACAATGTTGTAGGGATGACTAATGGTGCTTTCACAAAATATTTACACAGTGAGATTTTATTTATTTAGTGAGATCAATAATGGGTATGTAATGAATTACTGGGTAAAGAAAAATAATAGAACAGCCTGACAATTACTCACTTTACTGTAATGCAGCCTTTAAAACCACGAAAAATACAACACTTATGCCACATTACTATATTGTCTTAGATTTTGGTCGTCTTAATATCTATTGTCATATCACCATATTGATCTAATATCCATATATTGCCCCGCCCTATTAGCTGTCACATGTTCAAAATTAATTTTAACATGTACAGCATCCCGTTTTGCAGAATGATGGACGAAACAAAATGTGACAACAATCTACTCTCAGTACAGTGTTTTTTTACAGCCTCGTCTTTTTGCCTTGTACATTTGGGGAAAAAAAATGTTTTTAACGTTGCAAAAGCTAAAAGCAATGCTGCTGCTATGCAAGGTGGGAAATATGAGCCCATTAATCGTCCTTGTCACTTCCCCCCACTCATCCTCCCCTGTGCTCCACCCCCTCTCTTTGTACAACGATAACAAGCAGAGCAGGAATTAACGCTGCAAAATTACTGCTACTCTCTGTGTGCTAAGTGCTTCAACTCAATCAGCCAGTTTGGCAGGTAACCAGCCTTGAAGTGGGAGTTGTATAATCATGTTTGGGTGGTGGAATAGTGGAACCGATGGGGGTCTGATTTGAAATCCATCAGCTACAGTGGCCAGTGGATGAAAAAAAAAAAAAGCTTGTATCCTGTCCTGATAAGAAGTATGTTGTGCCTTTTTTATACCAAGGTAATCATGAACCTACCGTGTGTCTGCTGTTCCTCTGTCTCCATTAACCACCACCACCTGCTCCATTAAGGCTTCATTGAAACCTATTATGTCCAGGGAAGAGACATGATATAGGCACCTGAATGCTGATGCTGCTTCTACATCAATATCTTATAATGTTTGTCCTCTCCGTACATTTACCTACTGTGTGTATTATGTATTCATGTTGTTAGTATGCTCAAAAAGACAGTATACAGTACGCACATTTGGTTTCTTTCCTGACCCACTCTAGATATTTAAACTTGCTGTGTGATTGGTGTTTTAAAGATAGACATAGCTTGTAACTAATTTGTTTGATTTTAGAACTGTTAAATAGCTAAAGTTTGTATTTGTATGAAATCATGAAATCTGTCTGTATTGCCAATGAAAACATTAAATTGTTCCTATTATTTAAATAAATGTGTATTTAATTTCGCAACAGTATGCTTATTAGGCATATTTTGGTACTCTAGTATCTGTATTGTTTACATGTCGATGTGTTGCTCAGTTGAGGAAAGCCACAGGATTCATGTCAGAAACATGACTTTTTTTTTTTTTTGCCAAACTGCCATTTCCATTGTCAAGAATGAATCTTAAAGCTCAAAACAGAAAGTTTAGTTCAGGACTTGAGATTCATGAAGACCCTTACCTTTTGTTTTAGGAAGGTCTCTCTCTTTTTTAACCATTTAACTTAAAGAATGTGCCAGATTTACTCTTCCTACTTGTCCTTTATCTAGAGAATAACAGCTCATGTCTCTTTCTTAAAACCTTTTTTGTTTTTCAAGAGGTCTTAGTGAGAGTTGTTGTACTAAACAGGTGGGCATCTTCCAACACATCTGAGCTGTTTGTATTTTAAGCTTAAACAGCGAAAAGGGTTAGAAGCTGACATACACAGATTTGATTTTTCTTTTATTTCTGGCATCATATTGTCTAAATCCCCTTTACTGTTGTTTCCAAGTCAGTTGACCAATAAAATGCTTTTAATTTGTGGAAAATTTTGAGAAAAATGACGTGATGAGAAGCAATGCCTCAAGGCACCCATGTAATTCAAACACTCACCTATTATGAGCACATTAGGATCCACTTTGCACGTAATGTGTGGGCTTAATTTGTTTACGGACGCCTAGCTTTTTTGCTGAATCAGCATCCTCTGTGGGTTGCCTGTCTCGATATCTCATTAAATAAACCCCCTCCCCACTGTCAGATGACCGTAGGTGTCTTTTAGGGGGCGATGGATGGCCGGTGTTTCCCGACACGAGTCGAGTGGCTCCGAGAGCGAGCAGAGCCCGACATATTCTGAACATCTTCCAAATGTTGAGCCCGAGTCGTGAAGTGCTGCTCTTGAGGGGGACGAGGTTGAGAGGGAGGGAGACGACGAGGGAGAAAACAGGCAACATCCGCGCAGTTATTCACCTCTGAAAAAGCATCCTCACATCTCCGCTGACTGCACCGCAGCTCCAGCCGGCCAATTAAAGGTAGGTGAGCTGCAGAGAGGTGTTTTTTTCTCTTTACCTAACATGCATGTGCGGGTGCGTGTCCTACATTTGACTGGTGCGTGACGGGTTAAATTCTGCAGTTTTTTGGTTGATGCGCGTATCGGCTATCCCGGCCCCCGAGGTGACAGATTAGACTTTGAACTGTGAGGTTTTTTTTTTTATTCATCAACTAACACATTATAGTGTCAGTGAGGAAAGGTGTGAAAATATGTCCATCCTCGTTTTACTGGCTGAACGGTCCCGGGATGGAAGCCGGCTTCGCCCTTAGTGACTATTTTATGTTAATTCATTTATCCTGATCTCTCCTGTTGGGATTCAGGTGGTCAAAAATCCAATGCAGTTTTTATTTTGTAGGATGTAAGATGATGTCAGATGTTTCTTCCTTTCATACGGAAAGAGATTAAATATAAAACAGGTAGTCGAAGCCGGTCATTAGTCCACCTTAATTGAAGACATGAAATATATGATCACTACTACCATTATTATTGTGATTAGAAAATTATATGTTATATTTCATTCTTCAGAGTCTACCTTTCTCCTCATATAAGGAAGTTATATGGTCGAAAACGCCACATGTTTTGTACAGGTAACACCTAAAAGCCTAATAGCATCCATTATCTCAGAGGAGGCTCTAGCCTGAAGGCTCTCTGGATGTGGTGCCTCCGCCTGCACTGTGCTGCTGCTCATAGACTGTGGCCAGAGCTGCATGAAGGCCGAGGCACATGAGAACAATGTCTGTAGTGTAATCGTGGAACAAACAAAACAAAATTTCATATCTTCTGTGCTCTTTATTAGTGTGTCTGTCAATACTGCATGCAGCTCCACCACCCCTCCACCCCTGCTCCTCCCTCATGTCCACTGATTTTAATGAATCTGACAGGTGCAAGCAATATGGTGGAAACCTGTCTTATCCTTTAGTTCACTGCAGCCAGCTTTGGAGGAAAATAGGTTGTCAGCTGCTGCAGGCTTCTTATCAAAGATAAACTTTAGAAATTCTGTATTTGGATTCCGTCTAGACAAGATTTTCCCTGCATCATCTCTGTCTGAAGCATGATATGGGTTGGGGAACATTTGGGATGCTTCATGGAAATTGTGACTCTACCTCATTTCTGCAAAGGGAAACCCCATATTTGTTTGAAAGTGGTGCACCAAGTAAACATTCAGCCATTTTCACAATGTGTCACATGATGCAGCAGTTCTTTTTTTTTCTTTCTGATGCCTCATGATTTATAAATGTCTGGTGCTGTGAGAAGAAGGTACAGTACTGTATGTGTGTATGTGTGTGTGTGTGTGTGTGTGTGTGTGTCAGTGAGTGTGTCTGAGCTCACTTCTAGCATGCCTCCTCATCGTCAGCGGGACCTCACCCCATGTAAAGCCATCGCTTCTCATCACTTGGGCAAAGAAAAAGAGTAAAGTGAAAATGAAAGAGAAATGATGAAGGGTAAAGGCACAGAGTATGCTTTGTAGGGTCCCCACATCTGCAGTCATTGAATGCATTTCCGCCTCTTTAAAGCCTGTGGACAAAGACCTGTCTGTCCTTCCAGTAAGTAGCGAGTTTGGAGTTAGAAGGAACACAGGCACAGGCTTTGATTTCAGAGTGGGATGCACTGGCTTGGATTATATAAGATAAGGAGGAGGAGAGGATGAAAGAGACATAATAAAAAGAGAAAGAGATCCTGAGAGAAATGCAAAGAAAATGGGAAATGAGAGAGATTGATGTCTCAAGATAGTGAGCAGACCATTTGGGTTGAGAGGAGTCATGCTGAGGAGACAAAATGTGGTGGAAACAAAAGCGAGAGATGATACAGAGCTGTCAAAGCAGAGCTATAGAAAGTTAAGGAAGGCAGCAGAAGAGGGGAGAGAGACTTGGAACAGGATTGTGATGGTGGTAGAAAGTAACACTTGAAGACGTGAGAATGGTAACAGAAGTGACAAAATGGAAGAAAAGCGGGAGGAAAGAGTGGAGCTACAATAAAGACTGAGTGATGCTAAGTGAAGGGAGAGCGAGTCAGGGAAGGATAGCAGATGGCACATTTGTTCATGGTTTACAGCCCCAAGGACAGTGTGTGAATATAATATAGCTTATTGCTTATTGTGTTTTTTATGTGCTTACATGTTTGTGCTCAATGAGGCGGACCCTGATGTGGCGTTGCTCAAATCACACAGAAATGAGGGGGAAGATTTTAGATTTCTTGCTCCAAAGATCTTGCGAAAGACCAGATTGGCTATGGTGACTCCACAAGGCCTACTGCTGTGACAAACAGATGGACACTTTCCCTTTTCGCTTTCCTTCAGAGCCAACCAATTGTACATCTCAGATCGCTGTATTAATTAAATGCTGACGGCTACAGGGGTCAAGTCAGTTTTTTAGTCGTGAGTTACGATCAGTGCTTGATGCAGTGGCCTCAAATGTGGGTTCAAAGCCTGAGAAGAAGGCAAAAATTCCCGAAACAAGCATGGGGACTGCAGTAATAAAATTACAGTGTAATTTGAGTTATATAGATGACTCTACCAAAGGACACTAAAGATTTGTTTGCCAAGAGACACTGTTCTGTGTGACGTAGCTTTGTTTCATATTTTGTTTCAAATACAATAAAATCAGTGGGCTTTTAGGCTTTCTGCCCAGAGTGTGGCATGTGGCAGCCACAGTGCAGAGGGTTGTATTAGGCCTTTCTGTGAAACAACAATTTTGGTTTCAGATACTGGCACTGTGAAATGTTAATTATTTTCATCAAAGAAACAGAGATGAGGGCCTCTCTGCTGTTAGTATTTAAAACTGTGTTCATATTATACGAAAAGACAGACAGGTGGCAGACATACAGAGGTGCAAACACAAGCTTGCACACAGTGTGAAGATGGCTTAATGCCTCGTCATTTCCAGCAGGAATGGGATGTCTTATGATGTCTCCTTAGAATGAGACACTTTAATCTTTACTGCATGTTTATTAGCTGCTGCAAAGTGTGACTGTGAGCACTGCAGGTGTTCCATCCCAGTCCCCTCCTGGGCTTTGTAAAAGAAAACAGCAGCACAATCTCTTTTGCACAAACTCTCTTGATGTGTTGCCTCAGATGTTTCAGTGCAGCAGAGGCAGTTTCACATCATCATAATCCCCTCAGTGTTGCAATTAATCACGATTCTTCTCAGAAAGAGTCTTGTGGGAAAACAGGTTCACTCTGCAGCCCTTCTTGTTCTGGACATTTCCTGTTGGAAACTCGTTGCTCAGATCCGCACGACTTGAATTATCTTGAGATTCATGAATTATTCTGCGTTTAAATTCAGGCACATAATCAATAGACAATCCTTGACAGTGATCCAAAGCCAGGTGGCCCTGGTAAACATGCACATACACTTACAAGCGAAGGACTTCTTTAAGACATAAATGCCTGGTTGCTATCGCCTTTAAACAACACTGACCCATAAATCTAAGAATTTTAGATTAAGCTCAGGTATTCTATTAAGTTATAATGACACAGTCATTGGTTTTCTCCACAAAAGTTGCACCACAGGCTGTTTTTTTATGTCTGAGTCCAATAATAACCTCCAGGCAATGGCAGATAAATTGAATTTACAGGGACTGCAAGATTCTCAAAGATCTTCAGGGGAGGTTTTTTAGATTGTTAGTGTGATTAGATAGCCTAATTGAATTCTTAATGCACCTTCAAGAACATATACTGGATAAGAGAAAAGAAAGAAAGAAAGAAAAAGAAAGAAAGAATATGGGCGTTGAATGTAGACACTGTTTTGTATGAATAATGAAGCATATTCATTCAATTATAACCTTTGTTATCCTTTATTAGGACATATTTGTGACATATAGATAACCTTGACTGGATGCCACTTCGCTGCTGCACTGTCCTACTGTGAGCACTGCAGGTGTTTCCTCCTGCTCCCCTCCTGGGCTTTGTAAATTAAACCACAGGAAAGTTTCTTTTGGTCCAACCCCTCGATGTGTTGCCTCTGATGTCTCAGCAGAAGAAAGCCGGTCACATCATCAATATCCCTTCAGTGCTGCAAGTAATCAGGATTCATCTCAGAAACCATCACAGTGTCTTGTGGAAATTATATTTATCCTTGTTTTTGTTTGTAATGAGAGATTTATCCTGCGAGGAACATGTTATACTTTATATCACTGTCAGTGACATTACTGAATAAAGGAGCACTTAAGAATAATGTCGCAATTTATTGTTAAATGACTGCTGACACTTTTCTCTTTTCTGATTTTTGACAGTAAATTTCATTTTACACCTGTTGGGAAGGTGTGTGTGTGAGTGTTTGTGCTAACATGTCAGCAGGAAATAGCCAATTAACAGACCGCCACTATCCAAGGAATAATTGTTAACATTTTGGGGGTGATCTGAATTTAGGATTTGAGCCAGATGGTTGTAATTGTTTTTCCAGCCAATATAGAACCACAACTATACGTACTCCAAATCTTGTGATTTTTAGTATAGAGGCAAACTCTCCTTTCATATTAAAAAAAACTGCCTGCTTCCAAAGAATGCAAAGCAACAAAATCAAAATCAAAAACAATAAACCACATTTTCAGTTTCAGTTTTGTGCCTCAGTGGATGCTTCAGTCATCATAGGGTGACGTCATCCAGGGATGATGTCATACACCAGTTTCACTATCAAACAGGGTCAGCAATATATGTCACCTGCATACATGTAAGAATATGAGAGAGACTGTATGAACAGGTTCAAGTAAAACAATAGTGATATCTATTTAAGGAATGTTGCCAATTATGTTGACTTTCTATGAACACATATGTCTTCCTTTTTTCTTTCTAGGCACAAAAGAATCAGCCAGGATGGTGACAGTCTGTGTGATCGCCGTCAGCTTTCTGCTCACCACAGGTATGTTAAGAAAAATAGTGACGCTGTTGCCTCTGGTATTATGTGGATATTGTGTCTTTTTCCACGTCAGTGTTCAGTAGTCTGGTCGTCAGCTCATTATACCGCACTGTATTATTTGCTCAGAAAACCCCTTTTTTATTTGTCCTTTTTCTTCTTTGTTTACAGCTCTTTCTGCCCCTGTGAAAGGTAAGAGTTAGTGTACCAGTGCAGTACTGATTTTATCACTCATCAATTATACATTATGAACCTTTCTTGCCCTCTTATGTGTTTATCAGTGCTTCTTCCTTTCTCTTTCCATTGTATAATCCAGTCAATGAGGACTCCATGACCTTGTTCCATGGGGAGGACTTCCACATTCTGCTGCCCTCGCTCAAGTGGGAGGTCATTTTTCGGAACCGGTCTAATCTACGGTCGGGCGATGTGATTCTGATGCGGGATGAAATGGTGGTCAACAATCGGGCCAAACTCAACAAGCAGCTCAGCCACCTCATTGTAGATGCTGTGGGTGAGGGAGACGAGGGCGTGTACACCGTGAAAAGTCCAGACAATCCAGAGGACATCAGACACATTACGCTTATAGTCCGAGGTACTGGATGACACGAGTGTATTGTTGCTGTTTATTGTTTATTTAAGGATCCTCATTAAAAGCACACGTATGTGCCTCTAGTGTTCCTGGGGTCCTGAACATCAAAATACAGTACAGACATACAATTGGTTAATACAAACAACTTGAGATATAAAAGTACTAGGCAAATCTACAAATGAGTTAAAATACAAATAATGTCATAACAGTGTAATTAGCATAAAAAGTTAAATATAATGTGATACTTACTTGTGATTACTGAGGGACTGATGAACGGATAACAATTATACATTTTGTTGTATGATACATTTGGAACGGTATTGAAGCATAGCCTCAACTAACACGTTACACTCTCACAGGAAGAATTGGAATTTCAATCTAAAACTCTTAAAATCATCTGTCAGGCTTAAATTCTTAAAATTAAAATTCATATTAGTACAAGTTCCCTTTGCATTACCTCATCTGTGATACTAAATGGTCAAGTTACAAATCAACATAATAAACTATAAATGTATTAGTGTTTTTATCCATTAATGCAACTATACATTTTACTTAAAATACAGTACAGACCAGCAGAATAACATTTTAGATCCAAAATATATAGTTGGTAGTGTAGATATTTAGGTTATAGTAAAATAGTGCATTGGCCAATCATTTTGTTTTGTTTTTGCCTTGCTGCAATAGTTAGTAGTAGTAGTAGGCTACATATACTCAAGTACTGTACTTCCTCAGATGCAAGATATTTTTGTGTATTTGACTTCCCTAAATTATAATACATTGTTATGGATAAAACGTTTACAAAAGTACTAGAATTAACCCATCCTTGACGAATTACAATAGTAAAAGGCTTCTTACACATGTACAATACACATAATACATACATTTATGATCCCAATAATATGATATTTAACACTACAACACTCACAAGGGCCAGTTTTCTGCATTGAATACTTCTGTATGTTAACTAATAAAGTAATACTTTCAATGCTGTGATTTATTCACATTATGGTATTGTAACTTTTACTTTTACTAATACTTCCTCCACCACTGGATGACACCAAAGCCACAACTCCAGGACAAAGAATAAGCCTGTTATATCTGATCTTGAGTCAGAGTCAGGGTAGTGTAGGAGCTGACATTTCTCCTGCTTTAATGCAGTCAGCAGCCAAATAAACCTCTCAGTTACACATCATGTTTGTCCTCGGAGCGTTACGAGTTGCAGCAGTGTTGACTTTGGACTCTGACTAATAATTCTGATGAGATTAGACACACAAACACGCACACACACACAAACGTGAGAGGAGGATGGAGCGATTCAAAAACGCAGAGGGAGGAGTGGGCTCAAACCCAGCATGGATAAAGGCAAGTGTAGCGTAGCAGTATGTGGAGATGTGCCATATGGAGGCAGTAACGTGTTGTGAGGTGATGAAGAGGTGTGTGTGTGTTTGTGTGCATATGTGTGAGAACATGCCGGAGCTGCCAGGCACTAATTATGCAGCTCTTTAACCACTAACCCACTCCTCTCTCCTTCCATCCCTGCTGTTTTCCTGTCTTTATCTTGTCTTTACTGTCTTTCCCCCTTTTTGGTTTGTATCCCTACCCTTTCATTTAAGCTACCCTGATATTTGTGGATCAGCGCTCCTTTCTCTGCAATCTGTCACCCTTTTGCCACATCTGTCAAGCCATTCCCCCTTCCTCCCTCTTCCTCACTCCTTCACCTCTGTATGTCCTTTCCCTCACTTTAATCTCTATTTCCATCATTTCTTTCTTCACCCGAAGCAAATAAACTCTCTCTCTTCTCAAATGTCAGGCAATGTCCTGCCTACTGTAATTAACCTCATTGCTTCCTTTTACTCAAACGAACTGTTTACCACCATGCTTTTACCTTCTAGATTGTTCCAACGAGCAGATCATTAAATATGGTGACAACTACCATATTCAGCTGTCAGGGGTGACTCCCCCCATCACCCTGGAGTACAGACCCAGCTCTGTGGAGGCCAACCTGACATCTAGGTAGTCAGCAAAATTACACTGATATTTTAACCCAACAGAATCTGTAATGGCATTTTTCACCATGATGTACATGCACTGCGACAGTGTTTCTCATATTTAGCAAGAAAAGGTTGAGCAAAGTTCATCCTCTTTGACTTTCCCTCCTGCAGACCTGCTCTGGTGCTGCTGACCAGCACAGGGATGTCAAGAGACGGCTACCAGGGTCGGATCAGTGTCAACGAGCGCCGTGTCACCCTCAGTGCTGTTACAGGTGCAGACGAAGGTAGCTACACTGTCAGGGATGGCGAAGGTGATATCCAAAGGAAAGTGTGTCTCAACGTCAGAGGTGAGAGCGTTTTTTTTTTCCCTCTTTCATGCTTGACCTGTTTTAACCGACCAGTGCCTTCCATCAGGATGTTGTCGTTTCATTTCTAGTTACAATGCTTCTCTTGTTTGGCATAATGGCTTTTTAAAGACCCAAGCATTAATGGGCTCTAGCAGGCTAATGCATTTTAGATTATCCATGAGCCTGTAAAGAGTGACGATGTATTGTTTTGTGTGTCCTTCCCTCTCCTGTCTGTCTGTGTCCCAGAGCACCAACACTTTGTGACCCTGCCGTATGGTAAAAGACTGAAGATCGACCTGATACTCAACAGCTCCTTGGTCCACCTCTACTACAGCCCCGAGAATGACAACACACCCCATCTTCTACTGGACAAGGGAGAATTTACAACGGTAACTGTCTCTTATACTTGTACTGCATATTGTGTGAGTGTATTCTTGTACTGTATATAAATTATAAAATGTACAATGTGCCTTTGTATATATTTATAATAGATTTAATATATTTAGCTACAAAACATATACTTTGGTTTCCTGCAGTGTTTTATAGTGGTGCGCCAGCCCCTTCTGATACAAAGACCACATAGACTGACATCATAAGCAATTAATACACTTAAATATAACATTCACCTTAAACAATGATCTTACCACCTTAGCTAAATAATTTCCTGGGGGAAACTTTGTATACTATATTCTTTATATGACAGTTTAGTACCATATACTTACACTATTGAACACATTAGATAAATTCAATATGGATACAACACAACCATTGGGAAAATACACAAAATACACAAACGTTCATATGCCAAACAGTAGTTTGTAATTTTACATCAAATAATTGTAGGTTATGGCTGGTTCTTATGGTTATTTTCTCTATTGCATCATTCATTAATGTTATATGTATCTTTGCTGTTCAGTTTATTTAAGTCAACGGTATAAATGTCTTTTCATACTAGGCCCGAGAGGATCTGGGTTTTGGGGACCGTCTCTCTATGGAGGGTTCATTGGTTTATCTGGATCAGGTCAAGGGTGCAGATGTGGGCCAGTTCAAAATTACCGACATACTGGGGTTCACTGTGGCCAGCATCCACCTGGGAGTACAACGTAAGGATGGCGATGAATGGTGGAAAACTGTCAGATTTATATTGCTGTGATAGCTACTGATGGTATCGAAAAATAATTGGGTCAAAATAACTGTTTTGTAACTAAAAAGAAAGAATAATCCCTTTGTTTTGTGTACTGTATTCACGGACTGGAATTTCAACACATGAATCAAAGGTCAGTTGAATTATTTACTCTCCCACTCTTGTCCTTCTCTCTGCTTTCACAACATGCCTCCATGCAGCCTACAAGCTGGAGTCACTGTATGTGGCCATCATTGCCCTATTGGGCCTGCTGGTTTTCCTTCTGCTGGTTTGTCTGCTGTCCTGCCTGATCAAAGTGAAGAAGAGGGCCAAGAGGGCTGCTGCACTGGAGAAGATTGCCCAGAATGCTGGCAAAGAGGATGAAGGAGATGCCTTCAGACAGGTTGGAGGATCAACTGACAGTGTGATGATGATGATGATGATGATGATGATGATGATGATGATGATGATGATGATGATGATGATGATGATGATGATGATGATGATGATATAATGCAGGACTATTGTTTGGTGTGCATCTTCACAGGTGGTCAAGAACATCACCAAACTCAGTGAGGACTCCAAGCATTCCCAGGCAGACAATACAGAAAAATCTCAGAGCACCGAGGTGGACATTAAAGTAAGAATATGGCATTGATTTATATTCTTCAAACTGAGTCTTTGAGAGGTTTTAATAATAATAATAATTTTTATGATGTTTCCTGCGTTCAGACAGCTGCAGCATGTTCAGAACGCTGCTGCTGCTAGAGTCCTCACTAAGATCAACAAAGTGGATCACATCAGTCCAGGTCTCGGATCTTTGCAGTGGCTTCCTGTGTGACAAATAATTGATTTTATAATATTACTATTGGTTTATGAAGCAGTGAATGATTTAGGGCCAAATATCATCTCTGATCTGATGCTATGTTATGAACCGTTCAGACCTCTCAGGTCTTCTGGGACCGGTCTGCTTGATGTCCCCAAAACTAAACACGGAGAAGCAGCATTCAGTTTTTATTCAGTACATACCTGCAACAAACAACAAACTCCCAGAAAACCTGAGGTCTGCTCCAACCCTCAGTTCTTTTAAATCAAGGCTTAAACCTTTTCTGTTTGCCACTGCCTTTTATGAAATTAAATTTGGGACCGTTCATTCCTATCTTGCACTGCATTGTAGCTGCGCTGTGACTTTTATTCTCCTGCTTTATTCCGTTTTTACCTAATTATTATCTTCCATTTTATTTGACTCTTTTTAAATCTGATTTGTATGATCCCTTTATATTGCCTTGTACCTTATATATTGTATGCCTTCTGTAAAGCACTGAATGGTCCTGTTGTTGAACAGCGCTATACAAATAAACTTACCTTGTTGTCTGCTTGAACCCAGGGTCTGGAGGTTTCCTCTAAAGAGGTTGGGGTCGATAACCTAGAGACCAGTGACTCTGGTGTTGGCTTTAACACCGCCCTCCCGCTGGACACTGACACTGATGCCCCTGATCCAATCTCTGAATCTGTGGCTGTAACCATCTCTGTTGCCCCTGAAACAAAACCAAGTCCTCCATCTGCTGCTGAGTCCCAGCCAAGCGCTCCACCGGCTATGGAAATTAAGTCCAGTCCAGTAGCTGAAACTGAAGCCTGCCCAGCACCCGAGACCAAGAAAACCCCTGATCAACCAATGGAAGCAAAGTTGGATGTGTCCAAACCAGCAGATGTTAAACTCAGCCCAGCCCCGAGCCCTGAGCCCAAGGCTGGTCTGAGTCCAGCGGATCCAAAACCTGCTCCCAGCCCAAGCCCAGAACCTAAACCAGTTGTTCCTAAAGCCACCACTCCAACACCTGAAATTAAGAGTGCCCTGACTCCCACACCTGAGCCCCCTAAACCAACCACACCAGAACCTATTACCAACGGTACACCTGAGCCAGGTCCGGATTCCAAACCAAGCCCAGATCACGCTGATATTATCGGAGGCGCTGCTCCAAAAGCAGCTCCCCCTAAAACCCCTGAAGTGGAGCTGAAATCCAGTGGTGCCGCAATGGAGGCCAGCAAAGACGGCACTGTGGCTGAGGATTCAACCACCACCACCACCTGAGAACTGCCCCTGCAAAAAATCAAGGGAAACCCCACAGATTTTCTCCATCTACCACCACTGTAGACAATCGAACACCCCCTACCAAATAATAAAGAAACCACTGAAACTGGGGCGAGGACTTCGGTTTAACATGTCTAATGCCTGAACACAGTATTACCTTGATCACTCACTTGTCTTTAAATCTAACACAAAAACCTTTGAGACTTTATGATTCAGAAAAACTCCACACAACAAATGTGGCTTGTTGATTGTTAAACATTTTAGTTGTATACACCTTGTCGCCTCATTTTTTAACTTTGCAGTAAAAGTGTCAGACTGCAAATAAAATCCTTTGCAGGGTTCCTTTGCAAAACTCCTTATAAGGTCTTTTCTAACATAATGAGGTAGCCAGAAAGGTTTACAACATTTCATTACACTAGAATTCCTTATATGACCTTAACTAACCATCGTTTTCCATCTAAATGCTCGTTCCTCTATCAGCATGTGGATAAAAACAGACAAACTGCATGAAAATTTCAGCCAATGTCATCTCACACCTACTAAAATGTGTGATGACAGTCTTTTGATTGGACACAAAATGAAAGCCCTTTTGATCACAAAGACAACACTCTGTTGTCGGCATTTTGTACATAGCTTAAATGTGGATGTTATACGCTTGTGCCAGTTCTTTGGCTTCAGAAACATGTGCAATACATTATCACATATAGAAGAGAAAAAAACGATTAGTTTTGCATAACTTTAACCACACAAGAAAACATACTAATAATACTAACCCGACTATTTATAATCTCTGAGATTCAGATTCAGATTCAGACTCCCAGTGGATATCTCAGATGATTAAAATGTGTTTTGCAGACTGATCCGTCAAGTCTGGATCAACCACTTTACTGTCTTTGATCTGGATTTCCCTGTGGCTCTATAAAAATCCCATCATTCCTAAAGTTTATTGGGAAGCTCATGCCGACAAAACCTCCAGACACTTAATGGGACCTCTACATTCCCGCTGTACGTTGGGCTTTCCCAAGGTGAATTACTGGATGAAAGTGTCTGGTAAGTTCAAATCGTTAGAACATGCTTTCTTGTTTCTTTGCTTTTTCTTTCATTTTCCTTCTTTGTCCACTTTCAGGCTTTTCTTTTGTCTGTCATTCCTTCCTCGACCCCCTTCTTTCCTTCCTGTTTTCTCTCCTTTTGTTGCTGGGCATTATTTTTAACTGTACATGGCCTTTGACATAAATTATACCCCCTTTTTTTGTTTAGTTTTCCTCTCTAAAGCCCTCTAAAATTTGTCAAATGCTTGAACATTTACGCCTAGCATGCTTAATGGCTCCCAAATATTCCTAAGAGAGGCCTTTATCAATGCCACAGCATCGTCTGTCCAGAGATGTTAAGTCAACACAAATTAATCTTAGTTGAAAGTCTTGTATGGTGAAGAGGAGGTGTGCAGATACATTTTAGTGTTACAAATTGCATGTCTCTACCTCATGTTTTAACTGACCACTTGACTTTTGAGAAAAGCACAACATTACCGCCATGAAAATTCAATCAAATGATCTGTCAAATGTTGGAAAACTGTAACAAGTAGATCCATTTACTATACGACCAACTGGCTTTTCTTGGTACCTTTCCTGACTAATAGATTTTTCTTACAAGCAGATTAATATCAGGCAATGTGTCAGCCTTTTAAAAAGCCATATGACAAAATAGGTTTAGATGTCAGATTTGATACAAAGATCAATACATATAATGTATAAACTAAAACAAACAAAACAATCAAAGGGCCTCAATGTTGGAAAAACAGTATCAGATGGTCAGATGTATTACACATGGACAAAGGCATTCCAATGTAAAACGTGTAAAACACTCTATATGCCTCATTTCTAGCCTGGATCTTTGAAGGAACCACAAACCCACTTGGCAATACTAAAAATAGTCTTTATACATACACACACACACACACACACACACACACACACACACACACACACACACACAAACTTGACACACACATTCCAGCCATGTAAATATTGCATGTGTATGCCAGTTTAACCCCGTTAAGGCTGAATGTTTTTAGTGTATAGAAAGGTTGTTGTATTATACTTAGTAATAAAGAAGAAAACTAATTAAAATTTCTCACCAACATTAAATCCAAAATATAACATATATACACACATACATTACTATATTCTATAAACACTAATATTCACTAACGTCTTGAACTAATTTAACAACCAAATATTGTATAATTACATCAAGACTATATTAGATCTTTTAAGATCAGATATCAGCTGTTATTGCCATTCCAACCTGATGATACTCACAGCATACAGTCGCTCTCACAGTATTTACCTGTATTAAAATGTTTAACCTATATCACTTAAAGCATCGATGGCAGCATGCCCACAACATGTTCTGAAAAACAGGCTTTTACTGTCTTAAAGTGGTGTCTGTGTGTGTGACCAGAGGAGTGATCTTTTAATGTGGCCGCCATTGTGTGTGTGTGTGTGTGTGTGTGGGATTTCTGTGTTTAATAGTTTATGCCTGCGATGAGTGTGAGTGATTTATGACTGTTTGAGTGTTTGTGTGTGCTGAGTCTATGCATAGGCAGTTTGTACAGAATGAAACAGCTGTACTTTACGTGTTCTTCTCCATCTGTTGTGAGTAAGGTATTCATGTGCCTGCTTAAATCGTCTTGCAATGTGAAGAAAACAAGTGCTGTGTTTAAGTCATGAGTGTGAATGTGTTTAAAGCCACAAAACATTGTAAAAGATATTGTAACTTTGAGATATTTGAGTGACTCTCTGTCTTTGTTTAGTGCCTAAAACGTATTTTGAATAGTTATTAGCCGACGCTCCTGATGGCACCTTTTTTTTGATAGGTAGTGTATTCACAGATGTCAAAAGCTGTTTGCACACCTGACTGAACAAAACGATACCACTGACTGGCCTATGTTATGCTAATGTGTAGGAGATATGTGACATATTGTAAAAAAAAATGATGGAAGTGGTTTTTCTGGATGACTCCAAGTAGCATAACGAATGCTGAGCGTGCTCTATTTGTAAGTGAGGGTGTTTTCCATTTCATTAATCAAGGTACAGTTTGGAGTACGTGAGTGAATTTATGATAGCGGCAGATGAAAGACAAAGCTTTGTGTTGGTAACCCTCAGGGTTATGTTGTGGTCAGCAATTGATGAGGGACTGCTAAAACAGCATTTTTCGTGCACCACCACTACTGTATATTGTCTGTGATTGTAATACCAAGCCACTCAGAGTGAGTAGGGATGTGAGAGAGGCAGATCGTGTGTTATTGGCAGGACGAGCCTTTGGCTTACACATTACCAGCATCTGAAAGACGGCTCAGTCTAGTGGGAGTTATTACACCTTATTGGTGCCAGAGGGATTCTGGTTCCATATCCACCTCTGATAACCCACTAATAAAAACCACTACTTTTAATATCACTGGCACTTGTTGCACTATGTGAGTTGTCTCTGCCCTGATCCTCTCTGTTTACTTCTGCTGTTGGCCTTGGTGTGGTGTGACATCCCACATGTTCTCTCTGTACTCCCTTTTTGCACAACACTTCACACAGATGTTTTGTAAAGAAAATAGTTTTTTCTTTATTTCATGTCTAAAGGAATACTAAGAATAAACAAGTGATTATGGCATTTGCTGTCCTGTTGTCTTTGTTTTCCTATTCTCAGGGCAACAAACTTGCAGAAGGACAGTTCTGTCTCAGAGCTGTCCATCCCGTCTCAGTGACTCAACTCACTCAATGTCAGCCATCATTTGTGCTCTGTGTCACACATCACTTTCTCACCCTTCAGGCCCCCGCGTGCCATTAATCCCACTGCCTTGTTTTGCGCTTCCAGAACCTCGCCAGGATGGCCATCATGGCAGAGCAGGCACAACAGAGATATTTATAAGCAGGCCAAAGGTAACATCATAATGCTGTTAACACCCACTATGGACCCTGAAGCTCCAGGCTGGTTGCAAATTACAACCTTCCCGATACTTTGTTTTCCTGAATTCTTATAAATACAACTGCATCAGCTCAAGATTTATTTGAAGCATCATATTTCACCATGTACAGATTTAGGATGCACATTAAAAACAGAAACAGTAACAGCCACGCTTTTTTTAAATATTATTTCAGCAAGTTGTAAGTACAATTTATAATTAGGACTGCAACTTACAGTTATCGTCATTATCAATAAATCTGTCAATTATTTTCTCAATGAATCATTTTGTTTATAACATTTTAAATAAAATAGCGAAAAATGTCTCATAATTTTTCAAAATTCGAAAGTGACCTTCAAATGGCTTGTTTTATTACAAACCCCCTAAATTCATTTTATTACACACATTATCACATAAGATAAGATAAAAGCAGCAAATCCACAAATTAGACAAGACAAATATTTTGCATTTTTGCCTGGAAATTTGCCATTAATTGATCATCAACAGTTTCCAATTAAATTCAATTGACTTGCTTTTTTTTTATTAACTTATCATTTCAGCTCTAAATCTAATAATAATTCTACTAATATAAAATTTGTGTTGGAAACTTTGCCCTGTTGACCATCAGTGTTCAAGCTGGTGAGAACAGCCCCTCATCATAGTGATGGGTGAAAGATCTTAATTGCTCCTGTGTTCCTTCCATCATCTGTATCACATGGATTATAGAAGGGGAACAGAGGAACCAGGACTGTTCCCATAGAGAAGGTGTAGATTGGCGCCATGGTAACAGCGTTGTAGAAGGACACTTCCTCCTTTTCACAGTCTAAGAACACACCGAGGCGGACAAGACGGAGAGATACGTTGATCTTGGTGGGCTTTGGGTCGGTGCAGGCCACGATAGATCCACTCTTCAGGGCCAGGGTCCAGAGCCCATTGGAGGTGCCAGTAGCAGTCATCTCCCCTCTTGGAACATCATCCTGTGCCACGCCCAACCTCCATGCTGTCTTATGTCCCACCTCAACCTCCCAGTAGTGTCGGCCTGTGGTGAAGCCCTGATGGCCCAACACACAGTAGTAATAGTGGAACCGTCGTGGGTTGGCCTGGCAATCCTTTGTGTCCTTCGACTCATCAAACCACACTGAGGTGCAAGACTCAGACATGGACAGATTGGGGTGGGCTGTCTCAGGGTCAAAAGTCACTGATGTAATATCTGTGGTCAAATAGAGATTAAATAAGGTGAGTTCTGTTGTTGTTTTCCATATGTTGTCTCAAATGACATGTATGCACATACTTGGATAAAGGCAGCTTTTCATGTGCTTCCATATCCTGTACTGTATGGGCCCTACAAACTGGCCAGAGCGCACCTCAGTGTCCACCTCTGCTGGAAGAACAAAGCTGACCTGAGACCTGCTTGGACAAAATGGGAAGAGGGGAATGATGAATGATAGAGTGTCAACCTGGTAGACACACCACAGTGAGGATAACGGAGATGGATTGATGTGCAGAAATGAGAGCAAATGCCAAGCATGCATCCACACAATATTAATGAGATGTGGGGGAAACAGTGGAGGCAGTAAAATAAATGTAGTTTAAAGGATACACGCTTTGGGAAAACTTGCCTTTTTATGAGATCTTGAATTTCCTGCAATGAGAGAAACAATTTAAGAAAATTTGTTGTAATTGGTTAATGCTTGTAACAATGTTTGGACAGCCAGCTGCCAGACTGGCTTACACAGCCCATTCCTATTTGCTGACCAATGCACTGACTGCCTTTAGTCCTTTCACATTTAAATGAGAAATTGATTTTGACCTGCAAAGTCAACTGTTTAGCCAATCAATGTCCATAATTGATCAAATAAGTGCAGATGAAGAGGCGTGGAACCGCTAACAGGGTTGCGCAGCAGTTCTGCGATTGGGTCTCTTTGATGTAAACCTGCAGAGTCACACTGTTTCCAGCTCTGAGCTCAAAGGAATCCAAACAGGTGGAACAACTATAGACAGTTATTTAAGTCATAAGTAAGGTGAGTAACGTTTCGTCCCAGGCCAAGGGGAATGCTTACAGTGACCCTGGATAAACATGCGTGTGGCTCTGCTGTTGTGCAGAGAAGTTTCCAGAATGTTTTATGGAGGGAGTCCAAACTATTCTCCACCTCCTCCTCTGTACTCACACATTATCTCACGCTCCAAATTTAAATCATCCTCATTACCACTCCTCAGCTTTATATAGCTACAGTATATTCAAGCCAATGATAAGCCAAACTTCATTGATAGTTGGATGTAATCTCTTCTTTTTAGTGAAAGGGCCTTCTCACTTTGAGCAGTTTAGGACTGTCCTCCTCGGCCAGTTTGCTGTTGAGCACTGTAATGGCTCTCTCCAGGTCTCTCCCTTGCTCTGCTATTTTCTTCTCTCTTTCCTTCAGCTGCTTTAGTTGTTTCTGTCTCTCCCTCTTCAGTCGCTCCAGGTCCTTACACTCCTCCTCATCCAGGAAACGATGGAGGTTCTGAAACTCAGCTCTGATTTCTCGTTCCAGAGCATCAAAACTGCTCTGAAAAATTGGACGGGAAAAGATGGGCAATTATCGATTCAGCCTATGTGTGACTAAAAAGCAGAATTGTTATGAATATATACTCATTTATTTTGTGTTAAACTGGAATGACTGTGTCTGAAAATGGTGTATTATTGAAAAAGATAAGGATTAATAATTCAGCAACAGTACCTCTACTTCCACTGACTCTATGTAAGTCTCTCTCTCTGCTTCTCTGCACTCATCTACCTCGTGCTTGATTCTTTTAATAGCCTGGACAAGCTTTTCCTGTAACACACACACCAGAGATAGAGAATTGGAAAAAAATCCCACATGGAACAGAAATGTTTCTCATTTAATACCCTGCAAATGGAGCTTCTTTGCCTATAAAATAGGAACTTTTAAATCAGTAACATTATGAATTAAATGTATCTCATGCTGTTCTGAATACAGCAGCAGGTGAAAACCACAAAACATGGAGCTTACCTTGTTAGCACAGAGAAGCCTTTTATTGCAGTTGTTGTTGGTGTCTTTGTTGTGGTTTTGGTACATTCCAGTTCTGCAAAATCAGACAAATCAGAAACCGAGAAGACTCTTGAGAAAGCGCAACAAAAGTGATGGAGGGAGCATGAGGGAAAGACATGAAAACACAACAATCTAGAAAGCAAGAGGGAGAGAGAGAGAAACACACACACTACGGTCATAGTAATAGAGCAACAAAGACATACATCCACGCAGCAAATTAACAAGAGAAAGGGTATTGACAAGCACAGATCAGTATCCACAGCCTGACTTGAGAATATATGGATCCATTAAAGGAGGAGTGGTGGGGAGGCAGATGACTGTAGCTGCCAGGAGGGCTTGCTAGCTGGCTGGTTGGCTGGCTGCGGCGATTTATGGCAGCAGACACATAAAAGTCTATTTCTGTCTACCAGTGTCTTTGGAAACAAAGAAGAATCGGGCGGTGGAGAGAAGCAGCCAGTCAGATATTGTGTTTCATATCAGCAGTTGTTTTGCCTGGTAGGGAGACATTGCATGTTTATTTTTGATTGGTGGCTCTCTAATGGCTGGAGGTGTTAGAAGATCTAGTATGACAACTGTGAGCTATTACAGAGGTTGCTTTGGTTGTTGTATTGAAGGACGCTGTTTACTATCTGCACTCTGCAGGGTTTCATATTATCTGAGAGGGGGGCCACTGTTTCTAAATGGTACAGTCAGCATTACTGCTCTCAGTCCTTGTGGGAATACTGCATAACACTGCCCAGCCTCAAATCCCTTTCTTTTAAACTAGCCGTGGGTCTGTCCCCTACATATATACTTTTTATATCTCTACCTCCGTCTTTGTCTCTGCCTCTCTCCTCCTATCACCTTTACACACACACACACACACACACACACACACACACACACACACACACACACACACAGGGTCTGGCTATGGGTACGGGTGCACTGAAGCAGCATTACTCATCTCTGCAAATGTTCCTTATCTATAATTCATGGTGCCGGGTCCTGGAAAGTGACTGTGCTGAGCAGAGGTTGAGCTGCAAACTCAGTGCAATACAGTATGCGGTAGGTGGGGGGACACTGACAGGATGATTCAATAAAATACAAAAGCCAACTGCATGAAGTCAAGGGAGAAACTGAAGCAATTCCTGAATGAGAATCCAAATGATCAGTGCTGCCTATTACACTTTAACTTAATGAACTGTATTTTAATTTCTGATTTTATGATTTTGTTTTGATGTCTTTAATTCAAAAGCAAATCATAGGATATAAATTTTAGATTTACAATCCTGACATTTAACACCTAATAATCCATGTTCACAGCTTGTAAATCTGACCTTTTATATTGACATATATAACTATATATTATAGTATTTCTGTCACATAAAGGCATAGACAAACACACAACAGTAAAAAATATATGTATAATATAAATAGAAAAAATAACAAGAGACAGATTCATATGATAAGATGGAACTTTATTAATCCCAAATCCCAAAACTGTTGCAGTGGGCGCCCAGTTAGCTCAGTCAGTAGAGCTGGCAACCCACGTCTGGAGTTGCTGCAGTGGCCCGGGTTCAAAACCGACCTGCGGCCCTTTGCTGCATTTCTGCCCCCCTTTCCTGTCTATCTTCAGCTGTAACTATCAATAAAATGAAATGAAAAAAAATTGTTGCAGTACAAAGTAGGAAAGAGTGCAAATATAAAATATCAATAAGACACAAATCCAACATATATACACAATGCCAAAAATATAAATAGGTTAACATTATGGATTATAAAAATATAATCTGCTTTGGATTTTATATTGACATTTATAGATTATATTATAATTATTATCATTTTTATGTTGAAATGTTTGCTTTTGTTATTATCAAATTATTCTATCTGTATTTGTATATTTTTATTTAAAAAATTAAAAGGGGTCTCACCTGATTACAGTAGTGTATGTTAGTAGTAGTAATAAGAAACAAGCACAAACTCTAAAACAGTGTTGTCAGACAAGTCAACCCCTATCACAGCCACAGAGACACCACTAGATATTAGAAATGATCAGTTAAGGATCAACTACTGGGCGTTATAACCTCAGAGGACATGAAGAACAACACCCCCACTGGGAACAATGCAGAGGACAAAGAGCAAGCTTTGGGTGGGTGTGCGAAAGATATGCAGAGGACCTGAGGGTTATTAATATCAAGCTGAGCCCAACAGTAGTTATTCCAGCCATGGACGCACTCAACACCACCGATAGACAACTATGTGCTGGAGCTCAAGAAGTCAGAGAGAGGAGAAAGTCAGTCTGTTAAAAGGCTTTTTCAGTTTGAGAGCACAACTCCCAGTTTGTACAAATATATAGGTCAAAAGATCCAGAACATTAGATGAGTGAAGCTGCTTTTTCAATTCCAGAAAGAAAAGAATAAAGCAAACACCAAATTATCTGAGTGGAGCTGCATGGAAGTACTCTTGGCTCTGCATTGGGTTGAGGGAAAATAAACCAGGAAACACTTTAATAGGCTTCGATTCTGTTTCATTCCTCAAGAGCCCTTCAGTTCCAGCTGTCAAGATATTTTATTCAAAGTGTTACAAGTACGTTCCTGATTTATTCAACAAGGTATGTCAATTCTGTTTATGCGGGTTCCTGCGCATGTAGGTTTGACAGGAATCGAGGAGGTGGACAGGTTGGCAAAACACGCTCTACAGAGAGACACTGCGGTTTTACTTAAGTCCCATTAAGCAAATCAGAAAAGCAGAAGAGGAGGAGGGAAGAGCAGTGGAAGCACCGAGGTCAATTCACACACAATTCAACATGTAGGTAGGTCAAAGGAATTAGACGTCTCTTTAAACAAAATAACACTTTGTCATTCCAATTTAAAAGCCACATTTAAGGTAAAAAGAAGATCTGAGAAAGAGGAATTTATTTTAATGAACTCTCAAAGTGGATGAGGCAGTAGAATATCCTTATGTGTAAAATTACCTCTAATACACCCACCGCAACAGAGGGTGGCGGTGATGCGCTTTATCCGAAGGTAAGAAGATGAAGAAGAAGATGATGAAGATGGAAGAAGGCCCCGCCCATCACGACGCATGAAAACGACGTCACGAACGTAAACAAGAGCATGTCGCACAGACAGACTCAAACAAGAGGTATCAGTGGTTGTTTAAGGATAAAATAAATAGCCCTTAAATGAATCGCAGTGACGCTTGAATAGTTTAAATAAAGCTTGGTGTTTATTTCCAGAGGGCTCGTGAGGCAGCTCTGTGTCTTTAGCATGCTAGGCTAGCTGTGTGAGCTAACGTTTCCAGCTAGCTTAGCATACAAAACCCGTTTCCAACACCGATGTTGTTTCACAGCTAACGTAGTTCATTACTAAAAGTAACTGTATACAGTTATTATACAGTATAAAGTTATTATACAGTGGGTCTAATTGCTTCATCGTTTACATGTATTTCAGACATGAACGGTCAGGCAGACGTCGAAGTTGACTACAAGCGAAAATACAAAAACCTCAAACGAAAATTAAAATTTCTTGTTTATGTGAGTATAATAAGCAATCATGTTTTGTTACTTTACAAATACATATATATATATATGTGTGTGTGTGTGTGTCCTTTATCTGCACTGTGTTTGGTTTCTTTCTTCCAGGAACAGGAATGTTTTCAGGAGGAGTTGAGGAGAGCACAGAGGAAACTTCTCAAGGTGTCCAGGGACAAAAGGTGAGCCTACACATTGTTTGGACATTAACTTACAATATCAAACAATAGTGGATATTAAATGATATTATACATGAGCAGTAAATAACAACGTCCTTCACTTGTTTTCTAGCTTCCTTCTGGACAGACTGCTGCAGTATGAGAGGGTCGATGAAGACTCCTCAGGTAGTTATTATTACAGCTCATCCTAAAGGCTCTAATAATAATAAAGGGCTTATTACTGTGGAGTGCTTTTCATTTCTATTATTTATTTAGTTATAATCGACTGCGCTGTGGGTTGAGGTTTTTTTTTTTTCCCCCTCTGTTCCAGATTCAGACGCAACAGTTTCTTCAGAAAACAGTGAAGGCGAAGGCCCCAGAGAGAGGGAAAGAGAACGAGATGGAGCAAAGAAGTACGTTCCTTTTGAGATTAAATTCAGAGATTAAACCTGCTGCTTTGTGGTGACAGTGATTATATCTGTCTATACTTAGAGCAGGTCAGCCTTTTCACCATCCAGTGTTTCACCTGTGGGATGCTAGAACTATGTAGAACTTTCATGGGATGCTTATGAATAGTTACGTGAATGTGAACATACAATATATGTATTGTTAAATTTGACTCTCTTCACTTCGGTCGCTGTGACCATTGTAAAAGAATATAATGAGCTGTAGTAAACATATTCCTGGCGCAATGCATGGCAGAGTATACAGCTGAAACTGTAAGAATATGGTGTCTCAGGGGTCTGGGTCCAACAGCAAGCCATTATTTGTGTTTAAGTCTTGAATTAGTGTGTAAAAGGAAGGTACAATAGATGGCTTCCTATGCTGGATTAGTGTGGACAGAAGGAGAAAATATAGAGAAAAGTATCTGTTTTTAAACTGATGTGGGGCCAGTGTAGACAAAACATTTTGCTTTTACACCCCACACACTGAGTTTCTTCATTCTTTCATGTTTCTTGTCTCTTTTAAGGCGAAGAAGTAGTCCTGGGGCGTGTCTTCCTTCATCATCCTCCCCTCATCTCTCCCTGCTGTCCCGTCCTGGTGTAAATCCCCTACAGTCGTCGGGCTCGGGACCCTACCTGAACACTGTGAGTTTCTGTCTCCCTCTCTTATATCTCTGTGCGGCTTGCAACAGTAACCTTGCTGCCACTGTCATCTCCTCATCAGTGAACATAATCCCTGATTTGATTTGGCACTATTTATATAATTTGATTGTTTTGTCATTTTATTCATAAGTCTGTTTTATTTCTTCCTTTGTTTTTTGTTTGACATTTTTAATGGCTTCACTGTTGTTGCATTGTTCATTCTTCTGTGTATGTTTTTTGTGTTTTTGTGTGTCTGTCTTGTAAAATGCCTGTGTGCATTTGTGTTTGTCTGGTCATTTCACAATTTGGGGCCTGCGTGTGTGTTGGGCAGATGCCCTTCCCACCAGAGTATTTGGCTCCCCCAGCTGAACGAATGAAGAAAGAGAGAAAAACAAAGACGCCTAAAAACAAGAAAGAGACTACGGGGAAGGTGAGAGAGGAGAAGGGAAAATAAGATGCTCAGAGATAATAATAATAATAATTAATAATAATAATAATATATACTGCTGACTTCTCAGATGCTGTACATGATTGTGCCATTTGAATTAGATGGCACAGTAGGCCAATTCCAGTAGGTGATAATTTGATCACATAAGTACAAAGAAGTAACATTTGTCTCTGTAATGGTTACTTTTACTTTGTTGAATATTCATAACTTGGAAAGTCTGATATATAAACAGTTACAGATCAGTGTTTTTCTGACCTGTCCTCAATATAACCTGTAACAGTGACAGCTCAGGACAATTTTTGTGGAAAAGTCAGTCCCCTAAGCCGTTTTAAGTTTGACACTATGCTGAAAGGACCTTCTGGTCAGTATGTCTGTAACTTCATATACATGCTGCATGCTTGTCCTAATTTACATCGGCAATGCGGTCATCCATCCATACCTCTTATTCCTTTATCATATCTCTATCCCCTTGTCTTTCCTAACAATCATGCTTTATTCTGAATTCCTCTCAGGTTGTTGCCCCAATGGCAGCTAATTACCCATCAGCTACCACGGCCCCTCCAACAGCCAGCGGCCCCTTCAGCTGGGTTCCCAGACAGATGCTTAGCGGAGATGCAGCTGAGGAGGAGGGAGACAGTGATGGAGACAGCGACAGAGGAGATGAAGACAGAGGGGAGGGAGACGAGGCTGAACTAGTCATTGACATCCCTAATGAGTGAGCCTGACTGTGTGTTTACATGTGTAGTACATTTGTGTGTGTGTGTGTGTGTGTGTGTGTGTGTGTGTGTGTGTGTGTGTGTGCAAGTGAAAAACAGAACATGGCTGAATGTATTTTCTGTTTTCAGTTGCCCATTTTACATTTTCAGAAGGAGAGCCAAGCTCCCCCCTGTGGACTTTTGCTACATTGCACTCTCAAAAATATCTCCCTGATAAATGTGGTTTTCCAACATTATGTTAAGAATACAATCTGTGTAAGAATAAAATGTAGAGTTTGTAAGTTGTTAAGAAAAATCCACAGCCACTGGGACGTTTGGATACTTTGATTGTAACACAGTTTCAAGCTGCTGCTGATTATTTTTTGTCTAAACATTCTAGCAGTCAACAAACTGTGACTACAACTAGGTGTGTCCTGCACAGAGAGAGTGCTTGTTTGTTAACTGTTCTGCATTTTGTAACCACCATCTCAGACTTGGTATAGATGTTTCAAATGTTAAATCATCTTTGCTTGTTACAGACTTTTACAGGTTTTTGGACCTGCCATTTGTACTTTATTGATGTTTTTTTTAAAGAAATTGTCAAAAATCAAAGCTACTTCATTTAAATGGAGATATATATAGATATAACCTATCAGGTTGTGTGTGTCAGAGAATAAAATGTAAAAAGTTATCATTAAAGGTGAGTGATTTCAAGTTTTTGTTTATAGTTTAGTCGTGTGTCAGGTTTCAGTCACAGATAATGCTGGACACCTGCTACAGAGGTAATTATACCTAAAACTATTGATTAGGGCTGTTGTATGTTTGTCTAAAAGGATTTCTTATTGCACAATTTTAATTGTTTGAAAAAGAGTTAAATCAAAACATACTTAAAATCAAACATACCTTACAACATTACTTAATGCCACACCCAAAACATCACACCCTAAAACTCTAATACCAGAGCTACAGCCAGTCCCTGAGGTATGCTATAGTCTGTGTCAATGCTCATTGTATGCACGACTGACAACATTCACTACACTAATGCTGTGATTAGGAAAAGCTCATGTAAACTTAGTTCATGTTGGTTATTGCACATGTTTTTCTTTGCTTGCTTGACCTCTCTGCAAAGGAATCCTGATACCACTCTCACAGAAGCCCAGGGGTACATTTGGATCATGTTGGTCATAACTCTTAAGCAACATGAAGACAGCCTGGCTGGATTCCACCTCTTCTAGATGTCAAAAACAGGGCTATATTTTTTCAGTTTACTCTTACACATTCTCAGGACTAAGTTATTAGATCACATGTAAAGTGCTGTTTTTGCTACATAATGATTCTGTGAAGAACAGTCAGTAGCGGCGTCATGTCTCAGCAAGCCTGTTAATATTAAGAAAAGCAAGCTGTTATCTGTGAGCCATGAAAGGGAGTGTGTTTTGTCTGGGAAGTTTAGATTTGAAGAATTGCTTCACTCTGGGTGACACAATGACCCGTGGCTTTGACACTGTCAGGATTAAGCCTTAATGAGGATTTCATGAACTGACATGGTTAAATTTAGAGCTCAGTTGCTCACGTTTTACCTTGAGTTTCAAGTGAGAAGTTCTGCTTTCATATGGAAGTCTTTCAAAGCAACTGATTGACTTGAGTCAGGACTTTTAGGAATGTGCTTTACAAAATATAATGGACAATGAGAGGACTAACCTTGTACAACGACCATTGTTTGGGAATGCGGACTTACAGGTAATTGACAGCATTTAATGGGCGTGGGCTTGGCTTGTGTACTTAACAGCAATGGGAGTTAAAGGTGTAACCATAGAGAGTATAAGAGGGAGGGGTGAAGTGGAGGTACAGCCAGGGGGAGAGTCATAAGAGGGTGGAACTGACAGAGGGGGCGAGGTTGTCAGAGAAAGGGAAATGAAGGAGTAAGCAAGACTGTGCCTGCAACACAGATTGACTCTCTCAGAATACAGCTGACATTAAAAGAAGACAGACATGGTTGGAGACAAACTGGAGGAGAGAACAAGGAGCGAGTGAGGAAAACAACAAGCCATCAGCAGCCAACCTTGGCCACCTTATCTTTTCCATCTATATACGGAAACACTGGATAATTTATAAACCTCTCCCTCTCGCTCATTGTGAGTGTGTGTGTGCGAGAGAGAGGGGGGATTTGCTGAGCTCACCACCACCATGCTGTGTCCTGCTGCTGTCAGTGCAGCTGCTGCGGCTGTCTGGCTGCTGGCAGTGCTGGGCCCAGGCCTGTCTCTTCCAGCTGAGGACAACTCAAAACCAGGCTTCAGCCTCTGCAGCTACTGCTTCTACAGACAGACACCTCCTCAGGGAGACTCTGCAGGGCCACTGCTGCGCCCACTCTGCCACAGACTGCCTGGGGGACAGGCGTTTGCCACTCTGTCCAAACCGACCTGTGACACAGCTGTCTACTCTGCCTTCCATGTCAGCCATGGATGGACAGAGAGAGAGGAGGGGGGAGAGCTTGTGGTAAGGATGCAGCTATCGTGTTTTTTAAAGTAGTATTATCTGTTTTTGAATGAAGGAATTTGAAAGTACCGTACAAAATCAGTAAATCAGTGGTGGAATGTAACTACGTACATTTATTCAAGTATCATTCTATGTTACTTTATACTTTACATTTTATAGGGAAATGTGCAATTCACTATGTTTATCTGACACATATAGTTCCTAATTACATTTTAGATTAAGATATTACAGAATATTTTTGATAAACTAATAAAAAGCATCGTTAAAAATTAAACCAGTGGTTCTAATCTTGTTTAGATTGTGTTCTCTTACAAAAAAGCAGTGCTTGGTGCTACATAATTGTACAAAGTTACCAGCTACAACAGTTAACTGCTTCTTACAGATGTGTGTGTGTGTATATATACAGATTAAAAGCAGGAAAAAAGGAACAATATAGTTTTCAGTGGTCTTATTTTTCAAATATTATATAGACTAATTTAATGTGACCAAAGAACTTGTGAACATTTGTAAATAAATAAAATGTCTTGATTCATGCTTGGAAATACAAGCTCAAGTACTAGTAATGTAATAAGGTTATAACTTGTGAATGTGTGCATACATTTTAATGCATAATCATGTTTTAATATCTGGTTTTGATGATTTGCCAGGCAGAGGAAGAAGAAGACATCAAAGGAGCAGTACCAGCCCTTCTCAGAGGAAGCGGGGGTCCATCTAATCCTGTTTCCCCTCTTCAACACTGGGACTCAACAGTCACAACCTGGGTCCAGTCGACCATCATGCCCCAGTGCAGCTCGTTAGGGGGTGAACTCTATATCTTGACCGGGGTGGGAAGTCTCGGGGCTGCTGAGGATGGAGGCGAGGAGTGTCAAACGAAGCCGCTGTGGTCTGCCATGTGCTGTGCTGTCCCTGAGGGACAGAGTGGCTTCAGTGTGGGGTTAATCAGAGAGGCAGGGGAAGGGGAGAGGCAAGTGAGTGTGAAGGAGCTGGAGGAGATCCTAGGAGTGGCAGAGCTGTTCTCAGAAGGCTGTGGAGGAGCAGATGGGGAGACTGTTGGAATCACAGCAGGTCTTCACAATGATGGGCTCCCTGGAAATATAGAAGAGCTGGATGCAGATCTTACTGGTGAAAACACAGCAGCTAATGAGGCAGATTCAGATACCACCAGCCAAGATTCAAATGAAGACATTAAGGAAAGCGAGGCACTGGTCACTGGAGAACAGGTGGCTGGTGTTGATGCTCAGCCAGAGGAAGCTGATGATGCTGACATCACACAAGAAACTTCAGCGGACGCAGCGACTTCAAAGGGTAGCCGTGAAGAGCAGCATGATGTAACACATTCAAGATCTGCCGGATCAGAGCCTCCTGAGGCCTCAGCTGAATATGAAACTGTGGATGAACAAGAGACAGACACAAATTCCACCAGTACTCTGGTCTACATCCTTTCCACCACCATGTCCATCCTTAAAGCTCCACTGCAGCCTGTGTTCTCCACAATCACACAGTTACCTGGACAGGTGATACAAGTGACTGAACCATTTAGACATTGTTACGTAAAGGTACACCCCGGCAGTGAATTATTACACCCCATAAGGCTAAAAAATGACAGGCCAAAATCGATACAGCAAAGGGTGAAATGTCCTGACTTTTGGCCGCTATTATGGGTCAAGCTCCAAAAATACTGGATCCTTCACTTGCATAATGCAACTGCATAGAACAGTTTGTAAGACAAGACCAAGCTGAGATAAAATAAACCTAATAACATCATCAGGGTTATATACTTTATAATTACAAGTACATAAGAAAATACTGAATAATGAAAAATTTGGATAATAATTACAATATGAGTGCAAATAATAAGATTAACAAGTTTATAAAATGCAACAAAAACACGATCAAAACAGAAATACAACAACAATAGGACACAGCAGCAAAAATATCACTAATCACTTCCTGTTATTTCACTTAAGTCTTTTTTAGATAACAACATTAAAATAAAATATTCAGATGTTTATGTGGTCATTTTGTAGAGAAACTATTGCTATTTAAATATGCTCAGTTTCAGAGTTGTTTAATAAATCTCCTCATTCCAGTTTGCCCCTCCTAGGTGTGGCCAGTAGGAGATAATAACTCATTACATTCCCTCAGGTCATTTCATTATTCAGAATTTTTTATCTCACTTGAAAACTAACATTTTTGTCTTATCTTCACTCAGGTGACATACGTTCTTCAGGAAGACCTTGGAGTTCTGTCTGCCCTGCCTGGAGATACCTTCTCCCTGGTCCATCTCTTGACCTCTGACCTCTTGTCCTGGATGGGCTCAGCTGCAGAACTGCTACTGGGTATTGGGGAAACCTGCTTCTTTGGCATCTACTTCTGCACCTCCTCCATGCTGGAGGCCCTGCTGAACAGCTGCTACACTGGGTTCACTGGCATTGGGACCCTGGCTGGGGACACAGTGGGGATATTTGGTGACGCGTTGGATAATGGTTGGTGGGTGACGAAGTTCTTTGGAGGGCGGCTGTGGGAGCAGAGCGAGGGGTATGTAGGAACAGTGATGTCAGAAATGGGGGGTCAGGCGAAAGCTGTGGGTGGTGGGTTTGGGAAGCTGGTGTGGAGAAGTGGAAATGGGGTAGGTAATGTGTTTAGGCTGGGAGGAGGAATAATAATGGGTGTGGTGGATATGGTCATTGGTGCAGTGAGAGGGGCTTTTGGCCAGGAGTCAGAGTAAAAAGTGGAGGAAAAGTCCCGACTCTACATTACGCCATTAGTAACAAACCTTTTGAAATGTTTTCTCCAGTTTTGGTTTGTAAATTTCTTAAGCACATAACAGTGTAAAAAAAGGGGGAAACTATTTCAATTTAATATGCCTTAGTTGTTATAAAAGGATTGTAATTCACACTTACACTGTAGGTCTTACACTTCACTGTGGCTGGCTGTGCAAATAATCTGCTGTATGTGAGAGCTGCTGACCCAACTGTGATTTTGAAAACACTGTGCACAAGGCTTTTGGATGTAATTATTTGAAATAATTCTTGTATGATAATTGTTATGTTTGCTTACATGTACATTTGAATAAAAAGATAATGCTGGCTTATTCAACTTTGTACATGTTTATGTAATATTTGTGTGTTTGATGTTTTGCCATCATCCTTTTTTCCCTACTTTTTATCAGGTGGAAAACAAGAACGTACTCCTGGGTATTTCCACTTTCTCCTACTTTTAGCTTTTTCTCCTCTACTTTTCAGGGTGAAAATTCTACTTTTTACTTCACTACATTTATCTGACAGCTGAAGTTACTAGTTACTTTACAGATTAAGATTTTACATACAAAACATATAAGCATCTTATGATGTAGGAGATATTGTCACAGATGAAACTACACTTTAAAGACTGTATAAAGTCCATCTCAGTGAGCCACAATATTAAAAACCCTGCTTATATGTTAATGCAATAGTAATAACCCACAATATAATTAATACTAGTATAATATAACAATCTGAAAGTAGCTATTCTGCATAATTAGTTGTTTTATTTTGGATACGTTTTGACGATGAGACTTTTATTTAACTGATAATTAATTTTACTTAAAAAATTTTTTTTAATGATCTGCGTATTTTTTTCCATCACTGGATGTTGTTGGTATAATTTGAACATAAAAAAAAATAAAACAATTTACACACTTCCGTTTTGTACCGGAAGCAGCGGATCAAACCCGGAACACGTTGCATCAGTCGGCAGGAGGCGGAGAGGACTCATGTGGCTCTGCTGTGTGTGCTAACTTAAGCTGACGTCTCTCTCTGTTTCATTCAAAGGTATGGATAACGTCTTACATAATATTTAGATAACAAGCCACAGTTTTATTACATACTAACTTTATATATATATAAACTATGTACACCTACGGAAACACGTGTGAAACTCAGCATGCACTTATAAAAAGTCGACTTTTAGTTTGTATGAGTAGCTAAAGCTAACTAACGCTAGCCTGTTTGGCAGGACTTTTCGTTAGCCTCTGACAGGTGGCAGAAATCAGCCCTGCACAAAGTGAAACAGATAGCTAACTCCGCCAACATAGCCATGGTCTCTGACACTTTGAAAACGAAAGTAGGCCACTATAACACACTAAAAATGGCTTTCTTTAATACGCATAAACCACTTTGTTTACAAAGTGTCCATCCCTTGTTAACCTCCTCACAGATGAACTGATAGGACCGGTTAACACACCCACTCCGCCATTACCTGGCAGCTGCAGGATGTCTTTAATAACATGGCAGGCATACTTGTTCTGCAACAGCTACCCACTGACAGCAAAAAGAGAACATGTCACCAGCTAACAATGGACATAATTTCTGTGTGTCTACCAGAGATGGCCACTCTCTACGTGTCCCCTCACCCTGATGACTTCAGGAGCCTTCTGGCCCTCATAGCTGCAGAGTTTTGCCCATCCTCCCGTCCAAGGACCATCACAGAGGACCCTCCTGCGTCCCTGAATGCCCGCTCCAGACCAACCCTGGTGCTGGGCACTGGGGAAAGTGACTCTGTACTGAGCGGGGCCAGTGCTGTGTCCTGGTACCTGGCCTTACAGGGGAAGAGGGCTGGTGTAGATACAAAGCAGCAGAGCCAGGTGTGGCAGTGGCTCAGCTTTGCAGACAATGAACTCACCCCGGTGTCCAGTGCTGTGGTCTTCCCACTGTTGGGGGTGATGGGAATGGATAAGAAGGTGAGAGGAGTGTCCAGATGCTTACTCGGACACGTGTGTGATGTATTCTTGTGAGGTTTTATTCTCAAATTACTTGTTGTACGTTCTCAGCTCCAGCAGAGTTCCCGTGCAGAGTTAATGCGCGTTCTGAAGGTTCTCGATCAGGCTCTTGAACCGAGAACCTTCCTGGTGGGGGAGAGCGTCACACTGGCCGATATGGGTGTGGCTACAGCTGTTCTACTGCCCTTTAAATATGTACGTATGTTGTCTTACAGGTTTTTTCACATAGTTGATGATTGTCTCTCAGCATTTCGTAGTCTGAATATTTAAGCAGTGAGAAATCTGTTTGCTGCCAGTCAACATTTATACTGTGCTTCAAAACCGCAGTCAGATTATATTTTTGTTTTTTCCTTTTAGGTGTTGGAGCCATCAGACAGGAAGGTCTTGACCAATGTTACCAGGTGGTTCACAACCTGCATAAATCAGCCACAGTTCGTGAAAGTGTTGGGAAAGATCGCTCTTTGTGAGAAGATGGTGCCTGTTACACCGAAGACGAACGCTGCTGCTAATGGCTCTCATGCCACTCCTGCTGCTGTTGATTCTGTCGATGCCACAGCTAATGGTAAGGAAAGCCTGCACTACAGTTTATGAGTATTTCTTTTTTTTTTCTGGTGTAAACAGTATTCTGATTTTCTGTGTGTCTGCTCCTTCAGGCCCACCAAAGACAGAAGCCCAGCTGAAGAAGGAAGCTAAGAAGAGAGAAAAGCTGGAAAAGTTCCAGCAGAAAAAGGAAATGGAGGCAAAGAAGAAGCCAGCGGCAGAGGTATGGATACTTAACTTCTACAAAAATAACCTCTTGTAAGAGATTGGTGCAGCATTGAAAAACATGATCAACAACATAGCTTTTTAAATCACATGTGTTGTGCTCTGCTTTTTTTTTTTTTCTATTTTAGAAAAAGGCCAAACCGGAAAAGAAGGAGTTGGGAGTGATCACATACAATGTCCCCACTCCCTCTGGGGATAAAAAAGGTGAATGATCTGTGTGTGCAGAGTGTTTTCTCTCATGTAACTGAATGGATGCTTGTGACATCAATATACATGGTCAGTGTTTGTTCAGATTAACACTACCAGCCCGTGGTTGAGGTCCATATATTGCTTCAAAACTAAATTTCTGGACATATTTCAGTGTCCATAGACCACTCACTGTCACATTTTGCTAACCTATACAATGCTATTTTTTTTGTAGCGGTCATAGCAGGTTTATTCTGGCTCTTGGTGGGATTGTATTGTGAGAAATTGCAATTCAGGTCCATTTGTCAACCCTTTCTGTGTTTCTCTTCTGGTGTCAGATGTCATTAGTCCGCTTCCTGACTCCTACAGTCCTCAGTATGTGGAGGCAGCCTGGTATCAGTGGTGGGAGAAGCAGGGATTCTTCAAGCCTGAGTATGGGGTAAGGATGTCCTCCCCCTCACGCTATATTACCACAACAGAAAATGTGACTTTTATTTATTGATAATTGTAGTCAGCAATAACATCTGTCTGTCTCACTTACTCTATTCTGCAGAGGGAGAGCATTAGTGACCAGAATCCTCGTGGCATCTTCATGATGTGTATCCCTCCACCTAATGTGACTGGATCACTTCACCTGGGCCACGCCCTCACCAACGCCATTCAGGATTCTCTGACCAGATGGTAACTACAGTTGGACTGTTCAACAGCCTGAAATTCAAAATCATACTTTCAGTGAGACCATTTCAATCTCACTTGTTGTGATCAGGAAGCTGTGTGTTTGAACTGGTGGGGTTTCCTCTGTCCGTCCAGGCACAGGATGCGAGGAGAGACGACCTTGTGGAACCCGGGCTGTGATCACGCTGGTATTGCCACCCAGGTGGTGGTGGAGAAAAAGCTGATGAGAGAGAGAGGTATGAGCCGTCACGATCTGGGCAGAGAAAACTTCATCGAGGAAGTCTGGAAATGGAAGAACGAGTGAGTGAAGGAAGTAGTAGAGAGGAGGAGATGTGAGAGATTTGAACTGGGATAAATACTGGGATAAATACTGGAATAAAGACATTTGCCTTTTTCCTTTTTAGGAAGGGAGACCGTATCTACCACCAGCTGAAGAAGCTGGGCTCCTCTCTGGACTGGGACAGAGCCTGCTTCACTATGGACCCTGTGAGTTGTCTGAATTCCTGGAACTAATTTGAAAATAATCTGAAGAGAAATATCTAATTCTCATGTCTATACCTGTTTCTCTTTCCAGAAACTTTCCTATGCAGTCCAAGAGGCCTTTATCCGCATGCATGATGAGGGAGTGATCTACAGAAGCAAAAGGCTGGTTAACTGGTCCTGCTCACTAAACTCTGCAATCTCTGACATAGAGGCAAGTATTTTGGTGAAATGTTACAGAATGCATCTTATTGCAGTGATAAAGATTTAGGTCATTTCCAGTAAATTCACAGAGTCCACTTGTTTTTATTATTTTCTTATTATTTTATTTTACACTAAGTGCATTTGTTGAGAATTAACCAAAAATACTAACATTGTGTTTTATAAAACCTTTGACTGTATATGTATTTGTATAGTGTATGTATATATTTATGTATCCAACCGATTATTAGACCTTTTAAATACTGTGAAGCGCTGAAAGTTGATTCTTAGACCTATATTCTTTGATCAGATATTTACAGATTTAAACCCACAGTTTGTTAAATGTATACTGTATTTCATCCAGACATTGATTTTGTATCACTTTGAGAAGTTTGTTGCTCAAGAAATGAGAAATTGGTCTAAAGGGACTAAAATGCGGACCATATACGCTGTAATGTCCCTGGTTCGAGTCCAGCCGGGAGCATTTGTTGCACGTCTCTCCCTAAATTTCCTGTCTGGCTCTAGACTGCATACTGCCAATTAAAGGCAAAACGTTTTCAAACAGCACCCAGCCTTACTTTGTTAATCCTGTTACAAGGCTGTGATGGCGACAGATACAAACCGTTTTTCCAGTACGGACCATGCTGTGCTCTCTTTATTAAATCTTCTGGTTGGTTTGCAGGTGGATAAAAAGGAGCTCACGGGCAGGACTCTGTTGCCTGTGCCTGGTTACAAAGAGAAAGTGGAGTTTGGAGTTTTGGTCTCTTTCGCCTACAAAGTGGACGGATCAGGTACATGAGCTTATATGGAGCAGAATATTTTCGAACAGCTTGTGCCGCTTAATTAATACTGTCCTTTACATTTCTCTTTCTTTTCCTTAGACGAGGAAGTGGTTGTGGCAACAACTCGTATCGAGACTATGCTGGGAGACACTGCTGTAGCTGTCCACCCTGCTGACTCCAGATATCAGCATCTGAAAGGAAAAATGGTCCTGCACCCCTTCTGTGACCGCAAGATGCCAATTGTCTTTGAT